ACATACTAGAGACGATGGGCTACAAACTTTATGCTACAAAACAACAGTTGAGAAGATTCCTCTACATCACGTGACTAATAGTATTTGATTTTGCCATTAGTCTTTTATGTTGGACTGCTGTTACACTGTCGAGTGCTGTTACATATAGGCTTCGAAACTCGTCCAATGATACCGTTACTGGTATGCCGTCAATAAGTGAGTGAGATTTAGTTAGCTCTCAAATATTACTTTAACAAACTGTCAAAGTCTAGTTTTATGTGATCAAACTCCTTTGTATGTTTATAAATAATTAATCATTTAAAAATTTCGAAACAATAATTGATAATGTCAGTTTCATGCGTCACTCAAGAACGATCCATGTTCATCATTCACCACCAAAAAAGAGGATAAGTTCTTTTAGATGCAAGATTGTTGGTAATCAATGCGACAACTAACATGATAAAGCAACCAGATAAAACGGGCATTAAAATGTATAAGAATCCAGCTAATGGTAATGGATTTATGAGAACGGCTATAAGTGCTGCTGCTCCTCCGGGAGGATGGAGTGTTTCGGTCAATTGCATACATACAATAGAGACTGATACAGCTAGCGCACACGACACAGCCGGTTCATATTTAACAAGAAGAATTCGAATAACACAGCCAATAGTCGAGCTCACGAGATGACCGCCAATGAGATTTCGTGGTTGAGCTAACGGAGATTTTGGAGCACCAAAAAGAAGCACAGCCGATGCACCAAACGAGCCAGAAATAAACATTAAAGTTTTTCTATAATCAAAGCAATGCATATATTTCAGCTAATATCTCTTAAGAGAAGCTCCACCAGAAAACCAACCATGCTGTCCGGGGGAAAATTTTATTTTGTTTTTATTTATGTCTCACTGGAAAGAGCGTACAAAATAACCACTAACCTTGCAATACCTCTTTCTGAAAGTGCTTTAAAAAAAAGCTAGAGATTAAACAGTCTGTTGAGGGTCGCTCTTGTTACCAAACGACATGAATTTTCACAAATTTTCAAATTTTCTCAAAAAACCATCAGACTCCTACATTTCGTTCATGACTCATTTGAAAGAGAAATATTTACTCTATAAGATCATATATTTAGACATAATAATATGTTCAACTATCTATGACTAAATAATAGAAACTAAAACATTCCATATTTTTAAATTTGCATTTTTCTCAGTACCTTTTAAATACAGGCCAAGCATATGGCGGTCTCAAACTAAATCTTATCTAATTTTTTAGAGCAGGCAATTCTAGAAAATGTTAAAATACTAAAATACAGATGTAGAGAAAACATTTCCTACAAAATGAGACGTCTGCGAGCTCTTTGAGATGGTTTTTATGAGTTTACATGCATTTTACGACAAGTACTGTGTTTGAAACCTGTCTCCTCCTGGTTTATACCTCAGTTTTGATCCACTGTCCAAATGCAATAATTCACATATGGTTCAATAGAGCATTGAAAGTTACAACTAGTGGCATGCGTTTTTATCTTTATCAGTTCATATTAATAGAGGAAAAGACTTTTAATTTTAAAAAAATGGCTGGAAAATGGATATTATGTATTGAAGGAGACATTTTTCTATTACTTTTCACAAATCAACCTTTCTAGTTTTCCGCTTAAAAACTGCACATGACTCAATGCCGGTTACACATGTCAAAACTAGAAATAAATTCTTTTCTTCTAATCGTTTAAAAATCATATATAAATCCGATCGCGGTGCCTTTCACGAGCTTGTCTGACTCTATTTTTAAAAAAGTCCATTTTAAACGATTAGAAGAAAAGAATTTATAAACTTAAAAAAGTAATAAATGATGAAACGTATGCCTGTCTCCAATATTTGATTTACCCTAGTATTTTAAAATTTTCTATTACATATAAATCGATGTAGAATTGTCTACTCTAAAAAATGAGATAATATTTAGTTTGAGACCGCCATCCCAAGCAGATAAAATAACTCATTCGATAGGTACGGCGAGGGATCGTAAGTTCTCGAATATCCCTACCCGAGGGATCGAAATATTTTTCGAGGGGACGCGTCCCATCGGAATTCCAATCCCTCGAAATGACTAGCCCATCGAAACTTAAATTTCCAACCCTCTACAGTTTTTCGAACCATC